GCACAAATTCATGCACATTGAAAGGAAATTAATTAGAAGAAATATTTTAATATCGTTATTCGCCCTTTCTCTATAGTAGAAGTGTCAACCAAATTTATGATCAACAATGACAGATCAAAACACACATGCGGAATTGGCGCCACCAAGAGCTTTATATGTATCATGCATGCATGAGTCAACTTAGCCTTTTATATGTATAGAATAAACTGCTTAATTAGACCTGCTTTCTGATTTAGGTAAACTTTTTCCAGCCCAATGAAGCACCCCAACTTCTCTTTTAGGTAATTGTCAGCAACACAGCAGTAAATATCAACATGAAGCACATTATTATTGTAGATAATGCAGGGAGAACAAAGGGTAAAATATTTAACTGCAGCAGTGTTTGACTATATTCTGTGCAGTGAGAAAACCTGAATTTTTTTCATTTTCAAGGTCCACCATTTCTTACTTCTTTTCAGTCAGGTCAAGTTTTTAAGCTTTCTAAATCTCCGTTTTCCAACTAATGAAAAGAAAATAGGATTCTACTAAGTCTCCTATCTCCAGGACTTCTGTGAGGATCAAATGAGGATGAGGCATGGGAAATGCTTCACAGACATTTGGTTAAAGTGTAAAATGTTTCCACCTGTGTTCCTGGAACTCCAAGGAGCCTAGTCGCTAGGGAGAGGAAGCCGGGCATTGCTATGTGCCATCATTACCCAGCACCCACAGCAACCATTTCAGAGCGGGGCTGGGCTATGGGCTGCATTTTGCGTCATGGGGTCTCAGCAGTGTTGGCTGCAAGTTGGTGGGCTGGCATCTCAGGGTGGTGGTGGGGCCTGTATCCCTCTCGGGGGAAACCTAGTGTTGCTTTCTGGGCACCAGGTCTATGGTGCTGTTTCTTTATGCTTGTCATGGCAGCTCCTTCATTGAGCATCTGCCCCCTGGTGGTCAGTGCACATCAAAGTGACTGGTCAGAAGTTGGGAAGAACACTTAGCATATTAGCCTTTTGTATAGATAGATAATGAGCTCCTTTCAATACTACCTGAGTTTATGCAAGTAAGATGGCTCTTAGGGGCCTCTAGGTAGCTTCAGGGTAGGGAATGGTTGCCAGAAGATCAAGCTTTGATTAGAAGGTTGGAACATTTAACTTCAACCCCCTCCACCTCAGGAAAGGGAGGTGAGAGATGCTGAAGATTGAGTTCAATCATCAATGTCCAATTATTTAATCAGCATGCCTACTTAATGAAACTTCCATAAAATCCCCTAAGCAACAGGGTTCAGAGAGCTTACAATCTGGCAGACATATCTGGTGCCTGGAGAGTGGCACACTCCAACTCCATTGGTACGGAGACTCCTGCCCTCAAGACTCTTGCAGGCCTCACTTCATTTAGCTATTCATTGGTATCCTTTATATTAAACTGTAATAGTAAGTACAGCATTTTCCAGAATCTTGAGTTGTTATAACAAATTATCAAACCTGGTAAAGGGGCATCACTGGAACCCCTAATTTGTAGCCAAGTGGAAAAAAATGTGTGTAACCTGGGGGACCCATACTGGTCACTGTATATTAAGTGAGGGCAATACTGTAGGACTGAGCCCTTAAGCCTGTGGAGTCTGGCACTTACTCCCAGAAATTAGTGTCAAAATTTAATTGAATTGACTTTTAGGACACCCAGTTGACGTCTGCAATAAATTAAACATTGTTTGATGTCAGAAGAAACCTCTAACAAATATGTAGTCTTCGTGCTTTAAATGTCATGCAAATATCAAAAAATATGTCATTCTTCAACTTGTTTTTTATTCTCAACATTTTTAAGATTTGTCCATATTGATTTTATATAAATTTAGTTCATTAACTCTTGTAGTTTTCCTCAGATTGAATATTTATAAGCTATTCATTCTTTCTCCTGCTGGTGAACACTTGAATTGGTTCCAATTTTACTATTGCTAAGAAGTCAACAATAATGATTTTAAAACATAGCTCCTTATGTAAATTTGCAAGTGTCTCTAGGTTATAGAGTATGTGTATCTTCACTTACATAGAAATCGCCAAATTGCGCTCCAACATGATCATACCAATTTATATGCTACCAAGAAATTGTCAGAGTCCCTGATGGTCTCATCCTGATCAAATTTTGCACTCTCTGACTTTTGTATTTTGCCCATGTGATTATTGTGAAATGATATTTCTGTGCTAGTTTGTTTTTATTCTCTGATCACTAATGAGATTGAGAAGCTTCTCATGTTCTCTGGATATTCAGGTTTCTTCTTCTGTGAATAGTCTGTTCATGTGCCAATGTTAATGTGCTAATGGGTTAATGTCCTTTTAAAAAACTGACTTTTGAACATTTAAAATTATATATATGGACACTAGTTCTACACTAGTTTATGTTAATTCCTCTATTTTTAAAATAACATTTTCGAATTATAAAAATAACACATTTATTATAGAAAATTTTGAAAATACAGGAAAACTTTATAAAGAAATTTAGAATTATCTGTGATTACACTGTCCAAAGATAATTACTGTTTTTCATTTGGGATCTATCTTTAGAGTGTTTTCTTACTATGAATCTATACTTTTTTATTTTAAAAAACAGTTTGTTTTATACACACATATCTACTAACTTTTAATTGTTCACTTGCATCTGTCTTAGCTCCTCAATTATATAAGATCAATGATGATAAAATCATATTTTCTATTACATTGAGACATAGCATCAACAAAATGTCCTTTCTTTAGTAGAAATTTACTAAATATTGATTTAATGCTTATTTAATTGCAGCACATCCAGATGTGAATGGTGTGATGGTCCCAAGTTTGATGAAGGTTATCGTGTTATCCAATCCTGCAATGTTTTTGGAGCAACACACCTTCCTGTTATGTTTCATGTCTGTTCTTCTTCCTGCTACAGAGAAGTACTTGAAAACAGTTTTTTTTAAGATAGTATTCCTGGTGAAAGAGTAACTCCAAATTCTGAGTTGATGATCATACAATGATTTTTGAATCCCACTTTAAAAGCCATTAAAGTTTATGTAAATACCAATTCATTTCGTTGAGAGTACAGATTCTGTATGGAAGACATTAGCATCTTCTCACACTCATATGAATTTTCTTCGTAATTCTACCTCCTTATGAAAATTTGTGATTGTTAGGGAGTTCTTGCAGAATAATTAGTTAAGAAGGATTAATGAAAGTTTTTGGATTTCAATGAAGATCTATAAAATTTATTTCAGACAATTTTTACTATAAAAAGAAAAGTGTTATATTCCTCTGCAAAAAGGATTTATCTTAAAACTGGCCTTTTCACGCATCCATTCTGATAACATTTTAAACACATCAGTGGGGTTTTGCCTCATATAGCTTCAACGTGATGTATCCAAGCTTTCAACATTTGTGCATTTCTATGGAAATTTATCCAGTGCCAATCATCTGAATTGTGGATTGCTTCTGGGAATAAAAATTTACTTCCAACCCTGGCTGGTGTAGCTCAGTGGTTAGAATGTTGGCTCCCACACTAAAGGGTCACAGGTTCAATTCCCTGTCAAGAGCACATACCTGGGTTGCAGATTCCATCCAGGGCACATGCAGGAGGCAACCAATTGACTTGTCTCTCTCACATGGATGATTTTTTTCTCTCTCTTTCCCTCCCTCCCTCCCTCCCTTCCATTCTCTCTAAAAATAATTGGAAAAAATATCTTTGGGTGAGGATTAACAACAACAAAAAATTAATTCCACACAGACATGCTCCCAGGACTAAACGGGCATTAAAACTAAAATACAAAAACCCATCCTGAATAATAAACTGAAGACTAGCTGGAGAGAACCCTGATAACCAAAGTCGGAAAGTGGAGACTGCATAGAGACTGGTAGGAAGGGTGGAGGCACAAAAGGGCTGACCAGGCTCCCACAGACAGCAACTAAAGTTCTAAAGAGATATCTCAGCTGTTGGGGGTTGCCACTGAGAACTCTGGGATCTAATCCCCAAGCTGCCCCCCACCTCTAGCAGAGAGCACCAGAACTCAGAAAGATGCCTACATAACATCTGGCTATGAAAAGCAACAGGGTTGCTGCCTGTCAGGGAGAGAAAGCTGGAAATGCAGTCACCCTCTTAAAGGGCCAACAGACAAAATTTAGAGCGTAGCCACTCACCTTGGACTCCAGCAGAGGAAGGGCAGAGTGGAATGGAGTTGTGTGTGTGCAGAAGCCAGGGTGGGTGGCTATGAGTAAGAGCTTGGAAGGCAGAAACCCCAGTTTCCTGTACTGAGGCATTCCCTCATGCCACAGAAGTCATCTTTCTCAGGCAAACCTTTGCTATCCAGGCAGTTTTTTGCCTGGGGGAAATACAGTTGACCCACCCTATCAGAAAACCCTTTGTTATACCCTGTGGAATTTCTGAGGCTCATTAAGGGCCTGAGAATAACAATTAGCCTTCAGGCAGAAGCAATTACCCCACCCTGTGGAAAACCTCTTGCCACATCTGTGGACAATTTCCTGAGGCTACTCAAGACTGAATACAATCAGTCTGCAGGCAGAGGAGGGACTCTGGAGGTTTTGAGTTTTTGCCTGATCTAATTAGTCAGAAACAGCATTTAACACTGTCCTGCACTAGAGATTGGGAGGCATAGCAGATATACCTCATACATAGTCACAAACCCAAACAGGCAGCCAAAATGGGGAGAAAAACAACCCCCAAATGAAAGAATAAGGCAATAAGAGCAAAGGAATTTGTTATCTACAAAGGAGCTCCCATAAGGCTATCAACTGATTTCTCATCAGAAACTCTACAAGCTAGAAGTACTCAAGGTAATGAATAGCAAGGATCTGAAACCAAGATTACTATATCCAGCAAGGCTATCATTCAAAAATAGATGGTGAAATAAAGAGCTTCACAGACAAAAAAGGCTAAAGGAGTTTATCACCACCAAGCTAGCATTGCAAGAAAAGCTAAGGGGACTGATGAAATGAGAAGAAGAAATAGAGGGAGAACCTAGGCATACAGAATTAAAATGGCAATAAATAAGTACCTATCAATAATAACCTTAAATGTAAGGTTAATGTAAATGTATTAAATGTTCAATCAAAAGACATGCGATGGATACAAAAACATGACCCACTTTTATGCTTTCTATAAGAGAACCTCCTCAGAACAAGACTCACACAGGATGAGAGTGAAGGGATGGTAAAAAAAATTTCCATACAAATGGAAACAAAAAAAGCTGGGGTAGTAATTATAGATGTTCCCCATATCCTCCCCTACCCCAGGGCCACCTCAACCCAGTCCCTGATCCTCCTGTCCCTTGGCCTTTAACATTGTCTGTGTCCATGGGCATATATATTTTTGGCTAATATCTTCACCTTATTTTATCAAGAGCCCCCACAAACCTCTCCCCTCTGTTATTTGTCAGTCTGTTCCATGTATTCATGCTTCTGGTTCTATTTTGTTTATCAACTTATTTTACTTTTTTCTTTAGATACCACATATAAGTGAAATAAAGTATTTGTCTTGCTATGACTGGTTTAGTTCACTCAGCATAATAATCTCCAGATCCATCCAGGCTGTCATAAAGAGTAGAGACCCTTCTTTTTTAGAGCTGTATAGTATTCCATTGTGTAAAACTACCGCAGCTTTATCATCCACTCATCTACTGATGGGCATTTGGGCTGTTTCCAGATCTTAGTTATTGTAAATAATGCTACAATAGGGGTGTCTATATTATTTTTGGTTGGTGTTCCAGGATTCTTAGGCTATAGCCCCAGAAACAGGATTGTTAGGACAAACAGCAGTTCCATTTTTAATTTTGGGGGGAAATTCCATACTGTTTTTCACATTAGCTGCACCAATCTGTATTCCACCAACAGTGCTCTATGGTTCCCTTTTATCCCCATCTTTGCCAGCACTTGTATGTTGATTTATTGATGGTGGCCATTCTAGCAGGTATGAGTTGATATCTCATTGTAGTTTTAATTTATATCACTCTGATTATTAATGCTGTTGAGCTTTTTTTTCATATGTCTATTGGCCATTTGTATGTCTTTTCTGAAGAAGTATCTATTTAGGCCCTTTGCTCATTTTTTAATTAGATTGTTTGTCTTCCTGGTGTTGAGTTGCATAAGTTCTTTATTTATTTTGGAAGTTAAACCCTTATTGGATGTATCACTGGCAAATATGTTCTCCTATGCAGTAGGTTTCCTTTGCATTTTGTTGATGATGTCTTTTGCTTTTTATATTTATGTAGTATAATTGGTTTATTTTTTCTTTTGTTTCCCTTGTTGTAGGAGATACATAGGCAAAAATATTGCTCCAAGTATGTCTACAATTTTACTGCCTATGATTTCTTCTAGGATTTTTATGATTCTAAGTCTAACATTTAAGTCTTTAATGCAGTTTATTCATGTGTATGGTTTAAGTAGGTGATCTAGTTCCTTTTCTTTGTTCTTTTTTGCATGTATCAATCCAATTTTCCAGCACCATTTATAGTATAGACTATCTTTAGCCCATTAGCTCATTGTATGTTTTTGCATCCTTGTCAAATATTAACTGACCATAAAGGCATGGGTCAATTTCTGGGCTCTATGTTCTGTTCTATTGATCTATAAGCCTGTTGTTATACCAGGAGCAGGCTGTTTGTCATTATAATCTATATATATATAAAAAGAGGTAATATGCAAATTAGCTAGGATGCCATAACAGTCATGACCGGCTTAGGAGGAGGCTGCATGTGCAGATGGACGGGAGGGGACTGCGTACTGCCCCCAGCCCCAGCGGCCACAGCGCAGCAGCTGCTGGGGCTGGGGGCAGGCCTGAAGTGGAGACACCACACACAGGGGGGCCCGCCCCTGCTGGGAGACAGCGTGCCAGCAGTCCCACCTCTGCGCATGAGCTGCAGAGGAAACACCTTTTCTTACCGCTCTTTGGCTAAGCTCCTTCTATGCCACTTGCAATGTTTTTGGCAACTTGGGTAATAAGAATCCAAGAAGGTGATCTAGGGTTTTTCCACCTCACTCCTGGAGGAAAAAACAAAGGTCCGCTGCTGGAGGGGCTAAGAAATGTCATATCCTGCCCTAGAGCTCAGTGGATAGAGCTTCGGCCTGCAGACTGCAGGGTCTGGGTTCGATTCTGATCAAGGCCATGTACCTAGGTTGCAGGCTCCTTCCTGGCTGGGGCCCAGGTCAGGGCTCATGCAGGAGGCAAGCAATCAAAGTGTCCCTCTCACATTGATGTTTCTCTCTGTTTTTCCCTCTCTCTTCCACACTCTTTAACAATCAATGGAAAAATATCCTCAGGTGAAGATAAAAAAAAAAAGAAGAAAGAAATGTCATATCCTATGAAAGAGACATCTTGAAAATGCCTAAAGAAAGTTGTCATTTTTTCATGGTGAAGGGACTGAAGTCCGTGTTGATGAAAACACCTTGGTGGCTGTGGTTGCCGATAGTAGCAGCAGCAGCGGGGTGATGGGGGTGGCGCCTTCCCCTGATCAGCCAGTTGCCTCCCACAGAGGGAGGCCAGACTGTGGTTTAGGGAGCCCAGACTGTGGTCTAAGCTGTCAGTAGGACATCCCCTGAGGGCTCCCGGACTTTGAGAGGGGGCAGGCTGGGCTGAGGGACTCCCCTTCAGTGCACGAATTTCATGCACCAGGCCTCTAGTGACCTTATAATATAGTTTGATATTGGATAATGTAATACCTCCAACTTTGTTCCTTTCTCAGGGTTGCTGAAACCATTTGGGTCATTTTTGGTTCCATATAAATTTTTGGAATATTTGTTCCAGATCTGTGAAATATGCCATTGGTATTTTAATAAAATAGCACTGAATCTATAGATTTCTTTGTTTGTATGGACATTATAATAATGTTAATTCTCCAAATCTATGAACATAATATGTTTCCACTTGTTTGTATCTTCCTCTATTTCTTTCTTTAATGTCCTATAGTTTCCAAGT